AAGGCGAGGATCTCGACGAGTGGACTTGCAAGAGTCCTAACTAAAAGGTATAGTTTCACGATCGAGATGCGAAGAGTAGAAAGTATGTTACTGAGTTCGCGGAGTAGATCTAGTTTGTGCGAGGCACAGGACCGATTCTGATAAGAATCTCGGAGGTCCTGTCTAACTTGGATTTAGCTTTCCACGCTTTACGAAGCGTATAAAGCCATTCCCAGAGTGAGTTATTCTAAAGAACTTGGTCACTCACTTGGAATCTCAAAGGTTCCTTTTCTTGAGTAACTTCCCAGTCAAGGCCACCCCTTGCTGGGTCAAAGTCGTACGAGTTTCTGTAGTTTGCGAGGAGTTCTGAATGAACTAAGGCGGTAGGTCGGTAAGACCTAGAGTTTGGCGAAGGAATGTCGGCGTCTCTGATGTCGATACATGCTCAGCGGTTTTGACAAATCGAAAGAGTACTCAAAATTTCCCACACTACTAATAGTGGGTCTTAGAAATTTGACTCTTCAATTTCAAAACTCGTGCTTTGAGAACATCGTTAAAAGTTTCTCTGGAGGAGATGTTTTCCCATGGGTTCCTTCTTACTACAGGGGTAGATAAGTAAGTCATTACAAGGAGAAATGACGAACTGATCCAGGTAAGAAAGACGTACCCTACTCATTTAGCTTATAAAAGCTATGGGCGCATTGGTCCTATCCGAAGGGTATCACTACGGACTTGAAGTGTCCGTATCGAGTTCAGGAGATAGTCTTCCGGACATCTTTCCCTAACACTCGAACTGGTGATATTCGGATCCCGGATCCATTCCTGGAAGTAGTTTCTTTCTTTGCGTTTGCTCAACCATTTTGTCTACGCGCGCAGAGATAACGATTTCTAATGAAAAATCTCGACGGAGTCCTCAATAACCGAGGTACATGCAATGCGATCCGTCGATCTCTGGAAGAATATGACCGAGGTTCTCTAGGGTGAGAAACCTAGTCTTCTAATTCTATTTATGTGTAGTTCGCTAAGTTGTCCAAACTGTTCTTGTATCTCCGTGGGTGTTTAAACTATAGGGCGACCTGTTTTCGGGAGTCGTACTGGGTTCTATGCTTGTTCTCATGACGATGTGATTACTCGTACTTAGGCAGTTCTCCGTCCTGAAGTTCATATTAGAATTCATACCTAGTTTCACAGTCACCCTTTCGTGTATACGAGTCATATATAATTAAGGTTGAAAAGGTAGTCGAATAACTGGTTCTTCTTTAAGTTCACATCCCATCGGGGAAAAAGAATTTAAAGTGGAATCATCAATTCTAAACCTGTAGAACCTTGATTATATATCACTCTTATGCATACATTCTTCAGTGATAGATCAACCGCATGAATCCCTGGATTAAACTTGACGTACTGCACGAGTGGTACTTCGGGGATTTCTTCGGAAAGAAAATAACTAATAGGTACTCCTGGCATGAGTACCTCGGCGTTCTGATGTGACGGTTTCGCTGGAAAAGTGATCTAGAAGAAAGGGGTGTACGTATGAAGCTGTTTTCGTGAGGATCAAATTGAATCGAGTCGTATGATAATGTCGAAATCATACCGAAACTTAAAGACATTAGATTTGAACATAAGACGTTTACAGACAAAACACAACCGTGCAACCATGAACAGAGTTACAGTACTTTAGGTTTACCACAAGACTATTGCTGCGAATAAGGTATACTACAAAAGACAAGTATACGCAGCACGAGAGTCCTTACAGACAGGATCTCGCAAAAGGTAAGACTCTAGTTGCACTAGTTCTAGATAGTTTTAAGTCTGTTACAACGAAACGCCTTAATTACATTAACGTGGTTCCGAGCAGGCTCTCCTGTAGCTGTGATCCTGAGAATCTTCCCATCTGCGCCAGAATTCTGCATTATCGGGCAATCTTTCTTGAAGTGCCCTGTCTCACCACATTGGTGGCATGTCTGGCTAGTACTAGCTTTGGTGACGGAATTACGGTGCTTAGCTAGTGTTATGTGGACACGAGTGCCTTCCTCGTTACTCCACTTTGAAAATTGCTTCTTAAATCGTTCTGCGCTATAACTCGTCTTGCGCGCAGGGTTAGTCTCGATGAAAGGGACTTGAGTGATGGGTCGTTTCGGTGCTCCACAGTCACGAGCATGATGCCCTATGTTTAGGCAATTGCAACATTGCATCTCATGGCAAGTCCCATGATGATGGAAACTACATTTATCACACTTAGGGAGTTTTCCCTCATATGGCCTGCTCGGTACGGGAACGGAAGGGGTTTCCACTTGCTGCTGTTGTATAGCCAGCTTTTGGGCTCTCTTGCGTTCCTTCCGGGCTTGACGCTTTCGTTTCTTGTTCTCTGCTTTCTGGCTTTGCGAGCCTGTGACTGTTACTGTTTGGTGACTTCCTGGATGGATATCACGATTGGGAACTTCATTCCCATCAGCAGTATCGACTGTGCTGCTAGCGCTACGGTGCGCAATGACCGCGGTTACGGCAGCCACTACAGCAGCTGTTAATGTCGTTTGAAAGGTAGCGGCGTCCATCGAAAAAGTAGAGGTCTCGTTGCTTGGCTGGTTGTTTCCGGATGACGACATGATTCTGTAATACGAAAGATAAGGATTTGTGAGCGACTTTGGTTGACCCTGATGTACTTAGATTGTTCATGTAAAGAGTAGAAGTATGTTCTCGAAAGTTGGACCTACATCCCCATGATGCAGTCCTAGTCACGGGTGGAAGTAAGTTTGTAGAATGGTCTCAAGATGTTTGTCGTTCGAGCTGAGGTATCGTGAGTTGGTGAATAACAAGATCCAACCACTGAAAGAGACTTGGAAGTGTCTCCGGAGATAAATCGCTATAGTCTAATGATTTGACTAAAGCATGATTCAGATAGACTCTTATGAATGAATGACAAGAGTACTTGAATGAAGAATGACACAGAAGTTAGCCGGCTGTCAATATCTGTGATATTCACGATGTAAAGATTCTGGAAAATGACCTTGGAAAGGTCTTACATCATATCCACTAAGGATAGTTCCTGACAGCATAAATACCTGACTAAAGTACTTACGGTACAAGATAATTTCATAGAAAATGCCACATCGGGCATAGACAGAAAACACGATTCCTTTTTATAAGGAAAAATTAAAGTAACGGGTCTACTACTGTAATCTGATGTAGGGCTGTCCTTCCTTGAATCTCATTTCGGGCCACTCTGCGGACCAAGATTGGCAAGACTACATCTGCTAAGCCCTCATTGCTCCAGTCGTAAAAGCTTCGGTCGCCATAAAATAGCATAGATTGATCTTATCCTTGGCTCCTCTTTTCCAAGCATTCCCCTCACTCAGAGGGGGTCGGGCCATGAAAAGCCGGACGAGGGTTAGGAATTTGAAAGGAGCTGCTCGGGGTAGGTTTTCAAACTCTGGTTCGGAGTTAGCATCATACGAAAGGTCTTCGTCATGGTGATCATTCAAGGGGAACAGGATGATCATTCTCTGGTTATTCTCCAAACCAACCAACTATGACTTCATTCGGAAGATACTGGTTGTCAAGGGGATGGAGTCCAGTTATGGTTTCTTTTGCGAGAATTTAGGGTAAGAGAATAATTATTAGACAAACTATCTAGATAATTATTTAGAAAATCTTCATTAGTTACATCGTTATTTGTGAAGTGCATACCAGCTATGTGTAATCTAAACAGGATAGACCTTCGAATAAGTGACCTTAATTCCAAATTCACACAGAATAGGGGTAAGGCAAAATTATCACTGATTCTAAGTCTATAACATCCTAATTACATGTAGCCTTAGTGTATCCACTTAGCAACTATCAACTTAGTAATGAAGATCCCGTTTTAATTCTCAAGTATAAAGTACTTATAGTAACACCAAATACACCTATAGTATTTAAATTTTAATGTTATGTTCTATTGTTCTCATTGTGGTAGGGTTGGTAAGATTTTAGCATTGTTGCAACCACACACTTACACTTAGGCACATGCTAGTCAACCCTCGGATAATTAGGCGATCAGGCTATATCTTCCCAGTTTTGACCATATGTCTCTAAACCCACTTGTGTTGTCCAACAATCGTAATTCTTTTACTGTCCTAGTGACACTGATTTTAGTATGAATGCAGCACGTATACTTACTTAAATATTTTACTATTTAAAGTATAA